CCCCACCCAAACCTCGAACCCGCGACCATTTAATCAGAAGTTTAACGCTTAACTATTGAGCTGCGGTCTCTTTGTCTTGTCTTATGATCAAATGACTTGTAAATCGTGACCTCAACAACAAAAAGGCAATGAGCAAGTCCCCGAAAGTTAAAGTGCCTCACACAACCATAATACATCGGTATGCACCGAAAATTGATTTTCTGAAAGAGATCCTATTAACTTGCTTCTCCTAGTAAATACGTCATATTAAAGGTGCATGCATTGAGTGCCATCAGCTGTGCACCTTTGACTGCCACGATTCCTTAGTATCTTTGCTCTCCATGTGATATCTAGTGAATTTTAATGCAAATTATTAACTTATATTACCTCATCTTAATTTATCGTAGACATACAAAGCCGATCATCGCCCAACAAGCTCTTTCACAAAGTTGAGTACTCCCCAACTTTCTCTCCTCTAAGTGTACATTGCTTATAAACATAATAAATCCCCAGAGTGATTTGATTGTGGGAACTATTTTAGGAGTTATTTTAGCTAACAGTAGAGAAGAAATGCAATTCAGCAAAATAAGAAATTCACCATAGGTGTCGCGAAAGTTCTCAACGCTTTGAATCACCTGAATGTCTTAGGGAACCGAATTTCAAAATTACATCTTTGCGAAAAATGAACCATCTACAAGCTGACCTTTTAAGCTGCATTATGCTTTTCATGGTCACTCTGTTCTGAAAATCCGAGTCCCGGTTAATGCCGTTTATTTTAGTCGGAAAATCTACATACATTTCAAGAACTTACAAACTATCCATCTAAATTAATTAATTTATTCATTAATTCATAGCTCATTTTTGAACGTGAGGAATGCGGAACGGGACACATTATCAGATTCTCAATCAACTTTTCCGCAAATTGTTACCAAAAGTAATTGCACATTGCATAAAATGTGAATCAGTGAAAAATCCGAAACAATCGCATAGAAGACTCCCAATACGTCGTTCATTTTGATTGCACATTTCTAAATAAACAACGCTACAAGCCATAAAACCATACCATTGAATTCGTTAAAAAATATCTATTGTAATCGTGGAATTGAGTAGCCATGTGCTAGTTTTCACAATTATCGCTTAGCAGCTGTAGTTTACAAAGTACAAATGCCTGATACTTAATTCGGGTTTTTTTTAATAAAACAAGTGAATAACCGAAACATTTTTGCCAGTGCAAAATAAATTAGGATCGCTGTATAAATTGGTGCTTGGACCCCAATAATTGCGTTTCATGCTGATACAGGAATCGTGTTTAATTCATCCGTTCAGTAAAACAGATTTCACATGTTTTGTTGCTTTTCCGGTTCTTTAGTGTTAAGTGCAGGGTTTTGCCTCAAAGGCAACTGTGCTAAGCAAATAATGGATACGTGCGTCGTATGAAAGCCAAAAGGTTGCCTTCCATGTTCATCCCGAAAAGCGATTCACAAAATTCGCGTAATAAAAGTGACCATCAGCGTCCAGCCCTCCAAATTTCATCATTGCTTCGAACTCTTCGCCGGAAAGATTTTCTCCAGAACTGCACAAAGCCTCCATTAAAATATCTCTTGACAGGAACCCCGTCGATTCTGTATCAAAGACTTGAAAAGCTTTAAGGATATCTTCGTTTGTGTAGATATCTTTGTCCTTCTTTGCCGCTATTTGGCAAAACTGTTCAAAGGACATTCCATTTGCTGGTATATTTTTTTCCGTGTCGACTTCTTGTATAAGATCCTGAATGAAGAAGAAAATAGCAATACAGAATGCGTGAAAAGGCCCAAAATAAAAGGAATAGCTCTGTGTGTGCTTAGATGTCCCGAACGTTGAAAACTTTGTGGTATAGTTGTTTCAGTTTCCTTCATTCAAAATAAAAGAAACTTGTGACGCTGTTGCCAAAGTGATGTCGGACCAACCGTTAAATACTTTAAAATCGCACTTGGTGTACTAGAAAACATAACATGTAGGAGGACCGATGTTTTTCTAGTTTAATTGAATATCAGATTTTCGCATAAGATCTTGGCACTCTTTGATCAACTGTACATTAGGCTACTAAAAGTTTGCGTTTGCTTTAAACTGACCATCTCGGTTGTTGACAATATATTTTTTAGATCTCCAATAGTCTTGATTGATCCTTACGACGGAGTTTACTTGTACGGCTAAGCGTTCAAGTACGATTTTTTCTGAACAACGAGCTGCATAATGAAGACAAACTCGATACAGCCACTGCTTCAATGTTTTTTTAAGAATTACAAAATATGAACGGCCATGGCCCTGTATTTCCCAATTTTTCTCCGCTCTTAGGACGGGGTCGTGTGCTGGCAGGAAATAAACTGCAATTCTGCCATACATAGCCCTGCCAGCACAGTCCCCCACGTGCACGTGCCGGAGGTAATCCGAGGGAATACGGGGGAGTCCGGGGATGAAGAATTTTAATTAAAAAATTATATTTACAGTACCCATTTTTCAACATCTACTTTTTGATCAATAAATTAGTAATCAATGTTGGGTCTTAAAACGAGGTCAGTGATGAGTAAATAGTTGTCTAATAATCTAAGTTCCGATGTTCCTTAACAAAAAAATTGCATACGAGGCGTGTTATCCTAAATATACTACAAAGTTTTGTACAGACATTACGGAGCACTCTTGAGAATTGTTCCAGATTTTGTTAATTGCAAGTTGAGCATTAATAATGAATTCGTCGCATTTTCAGTATATTTGAGGAAAGCGTTCAGGTGCTTTTAGGGCACATTTAGTGCGTATCATATTTTAGCATTTACGTATTAATACTTTCTTACAATTTACCTCAACTTCGACGACTGAAGGCATAGAACCGGCGCTTCGGAGACAATTAGCAACGTCCTCAGCTGCTATCTGCCCGTTATTTTCCTTGTCATATTTATCGAAAATTTCTTTGATTTCTTGTATTCTTTCCTCAGAGAGCTCAGAATCAGTCATATTCAAAAACGATGCCTATTGCCTGAAAAGAAGATATATTCCAGTATATTATTTAAAAATTGAAAACAATGAAAAAAGTTGGAGCGACTTCGCGGTATATGAAAAATATATTTAAAATATGCCTATACATGCCAATATTATCAACAGATATACCTACCGGCTAGACATCGAACTCGATGGCTCAATGGTTAGGACGTCTGCCCCT